ACTGAGTGTGAGACTTTGATATTAGAGAAAATGAATATTGATAAAGTTTACCTTTATGTACAGAATCTGAATATCGCAAAATATTTTTAAAAAATTGCAATAATATCGTATCGTGGGATGTATGGTGATTCCCACCTCTAGGGTATAGATTTGGAACTTTTAGCTGTTTTCCTGTTTTTCCACCAACTCGTACAGAAATGTCTTGGTATTTTTTACAGTGGAGGGTCCACTATAAAAAATATGACCTTTGACTTGGAGGTGACGTGGTTTCAGGTCAGAGGTCGAGTCGAATCCTTTAAAGATCTTGGAACCGTTTCTGACAAAACTACATGGTTTGATTTTTCATCAGTGTCCTGGTTTGGACACACACACCTCGTAGTTTTGCTATGATGCCGCGTGGATTCTTTGTTATTCATGTTGCTGATGCGTGTTTGCTGAAATGTGAAGTGAGCGTGGGTGACTCGCGTGGGTGACTCGCCTCCCACAGACTGAATCGAAATAAAGCGAGCTGAACATTTTATTATTACCGAGTGGCAGCAGACCCAGGCACCCTGTGACAGCGCACGGGGATAACGCGTCATACGTTTTATGAAAAGCAGACTTGTTCTTGGCCGTGATTGGCTGCGCCACAGCCTGAGCTCGCGCTGCTTTCACACATCAAACAGAAGCCGCTGCGGTCTCACTCACTCCTCAGGATCCTCTCACAGTTGCCTTCGAAGTCCAGAGCCCACTGGTTCAGACAGCAGGTTGCCACGGTCACCTTCCGGCCCATGTCGGCGGGTCACGTGGTCACACGGCGCAGGTGATCGAGGACAGAAAAGTTCAGGTGAGAGCGGAGCTGTGGGTCAGCGGCTGTGTGAGCGCTTCCGGCCTCCTCTTCTTCCCCCGCTGCCTTCACTGAGCCCGTGAGCGCTGCTGCCCCCTGCTGGATCCTCACAGACTCACACCGAGCAGAGGATGGGCGCAGGCAGGGAAAAAGCCTCTGAATTCACAAAGTGATCCAAAAACAAAGACACATTTATACCATTCGTCCCGCGACGCTTCATTTTTAAAGGATAAACATGCACATATGTGAGCTCCTGGATCAGCAGCAGAAATCAGCTGCAGCTGAACCTGTGACAAAGCATTTGCTGATTTCTTAGTTTGAGCTTTATAGACTTGGTGTAGCTGATGGAGCCACGAGGAAGCACTCTGCTTAAGCAGGATGATCCCAAACACACCAGCAGGTCCAGTCTGAACGTGTCACAAGTGTCCGAGTGAAATTCCTCCATCCACGTGAAAGACTCACTGAAGGCTGCCGAGGCTGGAGGGTTGTTAGGGTTTGGGGTTAGTTAGCTTTACTTTTTCATACACTGCAGGTTTGGAAAGCTTTCTTTCTTTTAATAAAAGAAATCATCGTGAAGAGCTGCATCTTGTCATCGCTGGGATCATTTTGTCTAATTTGTTTGATGACCTGAAACACATAAATGTGACAAATATGCAAAAACCAAAACCCACAGATATCTGGGAGGATCCTCTGCGCTGTGAGCTAAACCTGTCATCCATCACTGGGTTTCTACCTACAACTATCAGATCTTTCATCGTTAAATCATTTGATACACAAAAAACTTAATATTGAATATTTTACAAGCAGCTTCAAAATGTTATAAAATAATAAAATAAGAGTTTAAGGACTGACATCACAGGGAGCCGCATCCTTCAGTAATAATGAACTTTATTTTCTCTAAAACATGCACATGTGTGGACAGTGTGAGCGGGTGGAAACGGCATTTATTGTCATCGGTTACAAAGCTGAGGGGAGGTCACGGCCGGCGGTGAGAGATGACACTACAACCACAGACACACTACGACTGCTGCGGGGAAGCCGTCGCTTCCCGTCTCGCTTCCCGGCCTCGTCCGTCGCTCAGCGCTTCCACCGAGCACTTAGGTGTGTGAGGCCAGAGGGGGTTTCATGAAGACTCGAGTCTCAGCAGGAAACCCGAACAAGCAGGCTGGAATCAGCCCGATGACGTGACACGACATTCCTGTGCTACCGTGAGACGTGGTTCGACAAACATGAAGCTTTGAGTCTGTCCTGCTCCTTCTTTATGAAACACCCCTCTGCACGATTCCTCCTGCTACAAAGATGAGCTGCAGCGCGGCACAGGCGTGAACATGTATGAGCGAACGGACGGATGGACGCGGCGTGAGGGGGCGGTGCAGGATGGGACCAAAAACGCTTTCTTCTGGTTCATCACAAGGTCCAAAAGAGGGTGTGTGTGTTTTATATGAACACATGTTGCAGTAATCACACACACACACACACACACACACACACACATGAAATAAATAGCAGATATGTACACAGCCTCCATCATGTGGAGGACAGATGAGATTCGTAGCCCTGTCATGTTTCAGTGATGGAAACACAGCTGATGATGGTGACAGAGGAGGAGTCCAGCTTCGTCACAGTCTGGAAAAAGACGAGGGCGGAGTCAAAAGGCAGCGGCTGAAAGCTGATCGGAGCCCACGGTGGAAAAACCACGACGTGCATCTGCTGTCCTGGGATTTCCCCACCTCCACCTCACCTGTACAGCTCAGTGTGAGAGAAGGCAAAGGCAGCACCTGCCATTCTCCTCTGACGCCATCGATAACGATCAATAACCAATCCAGAACTCGACCCGTTCAGGCATGGTCGCTCTGAACTCCTCCGTATAAGTTTGAAGAACTTTAGTTTCCAAACCGAGCGCTCTGCGGTCCGTCTGAGCCGTGCTGGTCGTTCCTCATGTTACTGACAGAAACGATGGCTGTGCTATCCAAGATCACGTCCTGACCACCTGGACTATCCGGACTCGATGGAAGCAGAAAAATGTGTGATTAACTGTGCTGCTGTCTGCCTGCTGATGCCAGCACTGCTGCAGGTTTCTCTATTGTCACATCGCAGACGACCTCAGGGAGCCAGTGAAGCCTCTGGTGTGACCTCAGGGCAGAAGTGAAACCTAACCCGTGTTATTTCCACTTCTACTCGTGTCAGTGTTTGAACACATTTTCTATTTTACACCCACAAATCCATTTTCTGCAGCTTATCTGGAGGCAGCATCAGGCTGAAACTGGTGCAACTGGGGAAGCACCGAGGCCAGAGACACAAACTGTGTCCTGAGCTGGCCTCAGGTCTCCTCCCAAACACCTCACACTGCCTCCTTCCAGTGTGAAGGACTCTACACTCTGACCTCCTCCTGAAAGACTGAGCTCCTCCTTCAGAAGAGCCTCACAGCATCTACAACACAGCTCAGGGTCAAAGGTGAGGGTAAGACCGACGGCATCCACATCACTTCAGATCCGTATTGTGATCTGCTGTGAACAACAAGAGCTCTTAAAGAACTGGGTGGAGCTGCACCTCCCTGACCCGTACGGAGGGACTCCACCTGTTTCCTGCTCAGATTTGAAGGTAGCAGTTCTTCACACATGGCCTCAGACCAGAAGAAACGCTGCACGAATGTGAGGCTCAAACTGACGAACTCTACCTGTGCAGAGAGGCTGAGAGTTTCCCATCTGTCAGAGGGAAACGTGAGAAGTGAACAATGAAATGTGAGGACAGTGAACATCAGTTACTGACAAATGTCCCTAAACCGTGGATGATGAGAACAGGGGTGTGTAAAAAGACGAAGGTGCAATAAGACACATCCCGGAGAGCTCCGCAATCACTCGATAAGAAATGCCGCAGCCAGGGCTGCAGAGTCACGTCTCCCAGTGAAATCAAAGGCATTCATCCACATGTGACACGTGTCTTCAC